ATCTTCAAATGGATTAAAATTGGCATGATAGATTAGAAAAGCTGTGGAGCTCTAAACTGGCCCGTCTGTTGCCATTCTTATTTACACTGAGTCCTGCCAAATCACCCCTAAAGTGAACCAGCCAAAATGCCACTAATTCACCAGATTTCACTCAATAAGTTATTTCCACTTTCTCCCCAGTTAGTGTTCATTGCAGATGTACGTCTCTAACTATTGTCTGAAAGAGAGCAAAACTTTCTTTCCCCACAGCATGAATTTTAGTAGTAGTTATCCCTTGGTATAAGTGGAGGATTGGCCCCAGGAACCCATGTGTGGCAAAATCCACTCATCCTCAGGTCCTGCAGACAGCCCCGTGGAACCCACGTACACAGAAAAGTCGGCCCTTCATATATGCAGGTTTCAGGTCCTGCAAATACTGTATTTTCAATCTGTGTTTGGTTGAAAAAGATCTGTATGTAGGTAGCCCTGATCAGTTCAAAACTGTGCTGTTTAAGAGTCAACCATGGGGCACACCTACGACTGATGCCTGATCAGTGCAGAAGAGGAGAATTAACAACTTGCAGGGTCCCTTCAGGCAGCTCAACTGTGAATTCTTTAATATACTTCCCAGTACTCAGCCTGAAATCACCTCCCAGTTCTTCTTGGAGTATAATAAGAGTTTTCTCCCTGAGAAGTTTCAGTGTACTACACGTTGTTTTGAGTAGTAATTTTAGTCAGCATAACAATTGTTTTACATTTAAAAAATGAAATTTTGAAATATTACAGAAAAGTTGAAAAAATTATACAGTGGTACAGTCATATACCCACTATGTAAATTTTGTTATATTTACTTTTTTATATATTTCTCTATCTGTGCATCCCTTTATCCTTTTATCAATACAGCTTCTGTTTTTGACACGTTTCAAAGTAAAATTGCAGACTTTCATACACTTCATCCCAAACACTTCAGGATATATATCATTGATGAGAATTCATTATTTTAAGTTTTTTTACGGTGAAATGCACAAATCATAAAAATGCAATTTAATGTATTTTGAGAAATGCAGATACATGTACAGTCTCACATCCTATCGAGATACTCGTGTCACCTCAGACAGTAATCTCATATCCTTTTGCATGAAGTCTGTTCCTCAAAGGAAACTACTGTAATGATCGTTTAAAATCATAGATTATTTTTCATCCATTTTGGAACTTCATAAAACTGTAATCACGTGGTAATACCTGTGGTTAAATTTTCTTCCACTCACAAAGATGCTTTGAGATTCATTTAAACAGGAATAGATTCTTTTTTCTTTCTTCTGTTAAACAGAAATAGATTCTTTTTTCTTCAGAAGTAGTATACTGCTCCTAGTGTACATTGTGTGGCTATATCAGAATCTACTGGTTCTATTGCTGGATACCTGTGCTATTTCCAGTGTTCGACTATGAATAAAGCTGCTATAAATATCACTGTACATGTCTTATTGTGTGTCTATTTTTGAAAAAGTTTGTTATGTACTATTTCATAGAGCAAAACGTTTATAAGTTTATTAACTGCTATGTCAGGTAGGTTTTTTTAATCTTATGTACCCTATTTGTGTACTAAAGGCTATACCTTATTTGGAATTTCCCTAGTACTGCAATGAATTTGTAGGGTTTTAGTTATAGATTTATTTTTTTCTGGACTTTTCTCACTCAGCAATTTAAAAAATATCTTCAATTTTTTTTCATTTTTTAAAAAATTTGTTTCATTGTCATTTACGGGACACTGTAAGATATTTTGCTAGGTTTGGGGACTATGTCAAATTGGGTACAATTTCTTATCTCAAATACCATCTGGAATATTGGAGAAGGACATACCACGCACACATAAGCACACACACACACACACACACACACAAACACACACGATTATCCAGTATGGAAAGAACAAGCATAGGGTCTCTTGGAACTCTGTTTGCAAGACAGTGGGAATGTGGTAGGGTAGGTACTGACGAGGTATGGAGAAGCTTCTGAGAAACATTGACTTTTGAGTAGATTCTTAGTAGAATATAGAGCTTATAAAGAATTTAGAGCTTACTACTCTCCCGTGTGGTAGCCCTGTTTAAATCAACAGACCTAGAGAGGTTCACTTATTTGTCCAGGGGCAAGTAGATAGGGATTAGAAGCCACATCTCCTGAGTTCCAATCCGTGTTTTTTCCTTCTACACTGTAGTATTTAAAAATGTTTTCAGAACCATTGATCAACAACTTGTATGTGCTAGGCCGTGAGTTGTGTCAGGGGAATTAAAAAATGAGCCAGATAATGTAGTTCCTGCCATCAAGAAGTCACAGCCAGTTGGTGGCACTCCTTAAGATACACACACACACACGGGGATATATTCCACCATACCAGCAATAGAAGCAAAACCCCGGGAGAATGCGGAGGGTATGGCAGCTAAAGCCCTGTGGTCTCCACATGACTTTCTAAAGGGTTTTCAGTATGTTACTTTCAATATTGTTTTGAGGATAACCAATAGGTTTCTGCCTTCTCTCCTTTCAGGGACATGTTGAATCAAACTTTGAAACTGTTTTAGCTTTCATAGGAATGTTATAACCTAATTATAGCCTTAAAATATAGAAAGGGAGGTAGGAGAGGAGGGGGAGGGGGATGGATGGGGGAGGGAGGGTGATGGGTGGGGTCACCTCTATGGTTTATCCTACAAGGGTACAAGTGAATCTTTCTAAAAGCAGAGTATGAATGTCTTAACTCAATAACTAAGAAAATGACATGAAGGTTATGTTAACCAGTTTGATGAGAGTATTTCAAAATGTATGTGAAAACACCACACTGTACCCTGTGATTGCATTAATGTACACAGCTATGATTTAATAAAAAAACAACAACAACAAAAAAAAGGCTGAAAAAAATCTCAGACTTCCTTTTTAGTTCATGGCTGATGATACCCTGAAGTTCTTTCCTTTAATGTGCTGTGAGCCAGCCGAGGGCAGATATTTTCTTGTACTCACTTTGGCATCCCTGATGTCCAGTCCTGTTCCTGCAACACACAGAGTGCTGGATAAATGCTTGAATTGTCAGTGGTTATTCTAAAAAATTGTTAAGTGTTAATGATCATGAGACTTCAGGCAAGTCAAGTCTGCTCCCCCAGAGGCTTGTCACCTCAGCAAAGGCAGGAAAAGGTGAGGTTGGTGTTTATGCTGTGAATTTTTTCTGTAGTCCCTTTCCTGTAGCCCTAAAGCTCTTGGACTTATCACTCACATGAAAGCAAACACAAAAGCAAACTTCCCCTTCATGACAGCTACTCAATCTCTACTTCCTGTTTTCTCATTTCACGACTCTACTTCAGATGCACATCTTTTTTTTCTGAGACAGTTTTGCTTTGTCACCCTGGCTAGAGTGCAGTGGCTTCCTCATAGCTCACAGCAACCTCACATTCCTGGGTTCAAGCAATCCTCCTATCTCCGCGACCTGAGAAACTAGGAGTACAAGCATGCACCACCACATCTAGCTGATTTTTATATTTTTTTTGTAGAGACAAGGTCTTACTCTCTTGCTCAGGCTGCTCTTGAACTCCTGGCCTTAAGCAATCTTTTCTTTTTAGCCTCCCAGAGTGCTGGGATTACAGGCGAGGGCCACTGATCTCAGCCTTAAACCCACATCTGTTTGTAGTAGGACTGATTGTTCTTCTATTTAGTTTATTTTACTTCAAAAATAATCATAGTTCTCTTCGTCTTTTTTTTTTTGGAGACAGAGTCTCACTTTGTCACCCTCGGTAGAGTGCCACGTCACAAAGCTCGCAGCAACCTCTGGCTCTTGGACTTGGGCGATTCTCTTGCCTCATTGTCCTGAGTAGCTGGTATTATAGGCGCCCACCACAACGCCTGGCTATTTTTTGTTGTTGTTGTTGTTGCAGTTTGGCCGGGGCAGGGTTTGAATCCACCACCCTCAGTATATGGGGCTGGTACCCTATTCACTGAGCCACAGGTGCCACCCACATCTTTGTTCTCTTTAATAGCATAGTTCTACCACATTCCAGCAGCCTTCAGAAAGGTTTCTCTAACTTTAACAATAAAAAGTTAGGGAGAAACCTTATCTCCTATATCTCTTTTTCCTCATTAAAAAAAGAATTTATTTTAATAGGCTATATATATTTTTTGAGACAGAGCCTCAAGCTATCCCCCTGGGTAGAGTGCTGTGGCATCACAGCTCACAGCAACTTCCAACTCCTGGACTCAAGCGAGTCTTCTGCCTCAGCCTCCCAAGTAGCTGGAACCACAGTGCCCGGCTGTTTTTTGGTTGCAGCTGTCATTGTTTTTTGGCAGGCCCAGGTTGGATTCGAACCTGCCACCTTAGATGTATGTGGCTGGCACCTTAGCCACTTGAGCCACAGGCACCATGCCAATAGGCTATATTTTGAATGTATGATATACTAACATATTGCCAGTATTGATATATTTGAGTTAAAATTTTCATCTGTTATCTAAGATGATGTGTTTAATATCTTTAGTAGGTATGTGCCCAAGAGATATTTCTACAACCTATCAGTGAACCCAAATAATCTTATGTCTTAGGAGCAGTCTCGTTTATTTCTGCTGTCCTTTTCCATGTCATTTATTGTATATTGTCTTGAGAATATTTAGTTTGTGTCAATTCTATTTTGTCCACAATTAGCATGGCAAGGTCTTTGATTTCAGCACCCAGGTCAGGTGTGCCCTCAGGAAGGGTCTCAGTGGTTTCTTCACAGGAATCACAACTACATCTTTTGGTATCTATTGCAATCATGTGTTTGCTTCTATTTTGGATTTGTCTGTCTTATCTCTTGGACATCAAAGTGCCCTTCAGGGTAGGCATCCTATTTGTTTTACATCTACTACTCTCCTTTAAATGTAAAATCCTAATCGTAAGCGGCAGGTACATAGATTGAAATGATTTCTAGAACTTTCCTTCTGGACATGTAAGATCCTAAAATCTTATATGAGAATATCAGTGACTTGATTTTGTTTTTAATATTTTTTCTTAGGAAAAAGAAGACCATTTTGAATCTGTTCAACTGAAATCCTCGAGATCCCCAAATATATGAAGAGACAGTGCTGTAGTCTGCAGACTAAGAACTGAGAAACCTGCTCTAGTTTTACAGGACCATATATTAGGGCCTGTCCTCACACCCGTCGCATTGGTGATGTCACTGAGGAGGGCCGCATCACTGAAAAGGGAAGGAGGTTGAGATGTTTGATTGCCTTATCACATGGTCAAGTACCTTGCCAAAAAAAGGAAAACAAATGATTTGGATCTCAACTGAAGATGAAACTCAACTCAGGAAGAGATTTATCTGTATATACACATAACTGAAAACCAAGTTTAAGCCCACCAGTGCACTGCTGATGCATGCCACATAATTAATGGGGTGACTTTTATTCTTCATGATGTCTACATAAATTGTGCTATGGAGGGCAGATGTGAGCTTACGTGCTGTGATCCCATTTATGTTTTTTCTTTGTATGTATTTTGGGAAAGATTGGAAAATTTTCTTAAGGTATGGTTATTTTTCCCTTTATTTATTTTCTTGAGAGACTTTAAAACAGCTTTTCTATTAAAAATGATGAGCAATGAAGACAATAAATTTTTCATTTTTTTCCATAGGGTATCTTCTCTTGATTTCAGAAACTTAAATGATCAGCAATGTTTTAGGAAGAGTTAGCGTGTGCTGGAGTTATCTAAACTTAGAATTGTCTTTGAAATTCCATACTTGCTCAAACTGGTAAGAAGGGCTTGACTGAAAGTGTGAAGGAATCATAACACAAACGAACAAAAGGCAAGAGGAAGCCTTGACCGTCCATTAATACAAACAAGGTGGTACTATCACATAAGTCAAATGGCTTAAAAGAGTTCATGTAGTGCTGGAGGTATAGTTTAAAGTAAGTGGGAAAGCCTGCTTATCAAATCACTAGCAATATGGTGGAGAAGAAAGTGAGTCTGTAAGTGCAAATAGTTGTAAAAATGTCCTTGGGTAATTTCATCCAGAAAATGTCAGTGGAACATTTGTCCTATGTCAAGAGCTGGATGGTATAGGGCTATTTTTCTGCTACAATACACTGAGAATCACCATTTTCTTAAAAGTTTTTTTTTTTTTAAGCCAATAAAGCAGGAATCCAATTTTGGGAAATTGCATATTTGTATTCATAATAAGAAAGTGGTTGTACCATAAAGCAGTTATGAAATAAGTATTGTTCCTATTCAAAAGTAATCCAGGTAATTGTAATATTTCCTATGAATACAATAACAGGTAATGAGTATTATCTCAATTTGGATATTCAAAAAAAATTTGAATGGATTTGACTAATTTTGCTAACTTTGTGTAAATCTTAATTGTTTTAGAACTGGAAAAGAGGGGAGTTTCCTGGCCATTGATGATCTAAGGTGCTCTGGTTTGTTTCCAATAAACAGTAATCTTTATAGATCTTAATTCAGATTTTTAAAAAGACTCGTGATTCGCTGAGAGAGCCAGGGAATATGGGTAGAATTTGTTGAAAGGTTTGCCCCAAGAATTTTAGTGAAGTATGAGTTGTAACTTCTGATTCTGCAGGCAATTTCTTTATTTTTATGCAAAATGGAAGAAAAATGAGTAATTGTGCTTATTTGGGCAAAACACTAAACCATCCTTTTACTATTGAATGCATGTTTTATATGTATGTCTACTGTTCCACATATGAGTATATGGGAGGTTATTATTCTTGTATTGTTTGTTACAGAATTCAGAGAGGGCATCACTTAGCATAAACTTCTCTTGCATTTAATTTCTTGAGTCTTTTGCATAAAGAAGAAATTATTGCATAGCTCATTGTTATCCTGCTAACGGAGTGCTGAGGAGGCTTTCCTCATCTTGATCAAAATTTAAACAGAAGATTAGAAATGCATTTGAAATGCGTCCTTTCAGAGGAACCCTGGTAAAATTGTATAGACTGGACAGAGTCAGAAAATTTCTAGAGAGTCACCTGTCACTTCTCTTCACCTTCAGCTGTGCTCCTTATGTATGTTCCAATCCATAAAGATAATTGGGATTTGCTCCCAGGTAGCTTCTTTCTTCTCCTGTCACTGGGCTACAATCTTTTACATGTCAAAAATGCCTTAAATTTTAATGAACTCTCTGAAAATGTCATTGATATTGAAGAATTTATTTATTTTATTTTTAATTTTAGATATTAAATGGATTTTGTCAGCTCAGTCCCATCTTTCCTTTGGATCTCAGTGGCTTGCTATTTTATTCCAAGCACAGAAGCAGCATCAAAGAAAGAATATCTTGAAAAAATACTCATGCCAATCCTGGCTATAAAATTCACTTTCGTTTTATGTCTGCCCTTTGCAAAGCCCAATGAAATGCTGAAAGACATAAACAAATGAATCATGTGTCTGTGACTTTTCATTGACATTTGTTGTTCCTTTCCCCCTATAAGTGGGGGGGAAGAGAGATTATTTATTATTTTTCTAATAGGCACAGTTTTGAAGCCTTAAATACTTCACTAAGTCAACTGTTGCCTCTATCTTTTAGCACTCTGTCAAAACATATTTCAATCAGTTTTCAACTGGATGTGACCCTGTCTTCTATGGATAAATTATATCATGCCATTTAACAATGTTGAGCAATTTGATATGTGTTCACTTGATTAAAAAGACTGAATTTTATTATTATTGACTTTCTTCTCTCTTTAGTTACTAATAATCAAATCCTGTCTAGAATTAAAAGTATTTCATAGTGTTTTTGTTTAGATGTCTGTCTTTATTTTCTTACCCAAGGGAAAAAAAGGAGATTTAAATTTGTTATGTGGAAGAATTGCTCATGTTCAGTCATTTTCCATCTGAGGTCTTCAGGTCCCCAGGTGGTGGGTCATGATTGTGCTTCTTCAAGACCCATCTGGCCAACTGTCATTTAATGTTCATCAATACAGCCAATTCCAGTAGCTCATGGTCATTTCTAATGGGAAGCTAATGAATAGCTCATTTCTCTCTTCCTTATTAAAATAAATTCCCTGGGGTTAGGGGTGGGAAGATAACTCCATTGGCCAAGCTTAAAGACAATGTGCTGCTCTCGTTTATCTTTTTACATGAATAGGTAAGGTAGAGTAGATCTTCAGAGGGCCTGAAATTCCTTCACATCTATTTGATGGTAATGAATGTTATCCCTGGTTTATAGGCCCAAGGACCAAGTTAAGGTTGCCCTAAGGTACAGTTCCTGATGGGAATAGACTTTTTAAAAATCTCAATAGTTGTCTCATTCTTGGGAAACTAAAATTTAGTTTGCCTTCACAGTAACTGGTTACAAATTACTCTCTGAATTTTATTTATTTTGGTTTAACATTTTTTAAATGAGTTCCTTTAGGATCATAAATGAAAGAAGTAGAACTTTAAGATGGGGGTGAAAATCGAAAAGAAAATTAATTACTATTAATATTACAATTGATATTAATATTACTATTGCACTTGTCTAGATCAGAGGGCAGTGAACTTTTTTTGAAACCATCAGGTAATACATATTTTTGGCTTTGCAGGGTGTGTGGTCTCTGTGTACCTACTCAACTCTGCCATTGCAGCAGGAAAGCAGTCACGGACAATCTGCAAACAGAGTGTGGCTGCATTCCAACAAAACCATATTTAGGGATGCTGAAATTTGAGTTTCATTTAAATTTCATGTGTCATGAAATATTCTCCTTTGGATGTTTTTCTAACTACTTAAAAATGTAAAAGCTTTCTTAGCTCACAGGCTTTACAAAAACAGGTTGTAGGCTAGCATTTGGCTTGTGGGTTATGATTTGCTGACTGCTGGTTTAGATCACTACAACCTACCACCAGCAAAACAGTTTAGAAGAATCTGTTTGTACACAGGTTTTTTGCGTTTATGAGCTTACCACCTTTAGAGTTTGTCCAGTCTCTAGAGTTGTTGAAGAAGAAAATAACACATCACCTGGCCTTGGTGATTTAATCACCTACCTAATCCAAAGCCAGATACTCTCCTAAATTCCCCCTTTGTAATTCCAGGGCTCTATTATGAATAGTGATTGGCAAATGATAAGACTAAATCAAGTGAATTAATTCAAAGTCAATTAGCAAAGTTGATTTAAAAGCTTTCAAACTTATATAACATTTATTGTTGTGATAACTGGATTTGGAGATATTCAGTCTTACATACAGACCCAGTCAAAGTAACCATATGGAAGTAGGGAATACTGGTGCGTAAAAATAGCTTCAGTATAGATCTCAAGCTCCAGGACTGGAGAGGGTCCCCTGGTCTATTTGCATTATTTAGATAGGGCCCACCTCAGTTTGTACACATTTACCAACTCCTTTTTCAAGACTTTTTGAGCTACAAAAGACACTTAAGATTCCCTTAATAATTGCTGCTTCAAAAACAGATCTCCAATTTCCTTGAACAAAATGTCCCAGTCAGGCTTTTAATTTCTTGGACTTTTTTCATTTTACTAATGACCCCTGGAAGGAGAGTTCTGTCTAAAATAGCTAATGAATATTGGTAAATCTGACTTGGAGGGGACAATATTTCTCAGATGACTGATTTCAGATTACCATTGGTTGCTTTCCAAACAAAAGCAGTAAGCCAGTGGGAATTATGCAAATCTCAACCCTCTGTCACAGAGCAGGTGTGATAAGTGCCTTGCTCATAGTTTTGCTTTTGTCTTTAGAGCTGTGGTTGTAATGCAGACCAGGGTTCCATCTTCCTGGCACCTCACTTTTCTTGGCTTCCCATTGCAGCCCTTGACTGAAGAGTTCTCAGGCCCCAAGATGTCAAGGTGGATGGGTGAATAAAGCAGGGAGCCTAGAGAAAGCATGGAATTGAAAACCATAAAGGTACACTGGCTCAATTATCTCCTTTTCCAGTCACTCTCTTAGTCTGTTCTCTGTGTGGCCTACAAGCCAACTCCCCTCAGAGTTTAAAAATGAAGACTTTTTTATTTTACCTTGATAAACCTGAATGGGTAGAGAAATCTGTTAATTTAAACTAGGGAGGACATGCAACATCTCAGAAACTGTGAACACTCAGAAAACCATGGATAAGCATACAGTTAGGCTTAATTTTTTAAAGATTTACTTTTAATCAACAGTAATTGCAATTGTATGTACATATTATGGGGTATGATATTTTGATACACGAACACTTTGTGGAATGATCAAATCAGGATTATTAGCATATTACCTCAAACATTTCATTCCTTTGTGGTAAGAACATTTAAAATCTCTTAGCTGTTTTGAAATATACATTATTTTTAACTACACTGTAGTCACTGTGCTGTATAGTAGAACACCAGAACATATTTCTCCTCTCTCGCTGAGATTGAGTATTCAATGGCCAACATCTCTCCTTCCCACACCAGCTCCAGCCTCTGGTAACCAGCATTCTACTTACTACTTACTACTACTTACTACTTACTTACTACTAACTACGTCCATATTGTCACAAATGAAAGAATTTCCTGTTGTTTTTTTTTTAAAGGCTAAGGAGTATCCCCTTGTGTTTATATACCACATTTAAAAAATGCACTTATCCCTTTCTTATCCCTAAGCAACTTAGGTTGCTTACATATTGTGGCTATTGTGAATACTACTGCAATAAACATGGGACTTCAGAAATCTCTCAACATACTGATTTCAATGCCTTTGAGTGTATACATAGTAGTAGGATTGCTGGATTATATGGGGAGTATATTTTTAATTTTTTGAGGTGCCGCCACACTGTTTTCCAAAATGACTGTGTTTATGTACAATACCACCAACAGTGTGTAAGAGTTTTCTTTTTCTCCAAATCTTTGCCAACACTTTTATTGTTTTGAAACTATAGCTCAATTAACAATTGTGAGGTGATATGTCATTGTGGTTTTAATGTGCATTTCTTTTTTGATTAGACATGCTGAGTATTGTTTCCACATACAAGGTTGAACAATTAAGTTCTCAAACTCACCTGGGAAAAAGAGCTACGCACCTCATTGGTGAATATCTCTGCAGTCACCTTTGAAGTACCCTAGGCCATCTGGTGACCACAATGATATTCAGCAATGAGATATGTAGCCCTTTACTGAGGATGAGTTCATGAACTTAATTGTCTGACCTCGGATGATGACAACTCTGATGGCCCTTCCAGAAAAAGAGTTCCAAAATTGTTCTGAAGGTTGAACTAGGCTCTGGTGTCAATGCATAGTTTCCCAAGAGGAGTATATTGAAGGTGACCTTAGTGATATGCAGCAGTGAGGTATGTTGTACTTTTTCTGGGAAGGAGTTCATGATCTTAACTGTCTGACCTCATATCTCTTGGCCATTTGTATACCTTCTTTTGAGAAATAGCTATTCAAGTCCTTTGCCTTTTTTGATAGGGTTATTTGTTACTTTATTATTTAGTTTGAATTCCTTGTATATTTTGGATGTTAGTCCCTTACCCAATGTATGATTTGCAAATATTTACTCCCAGTCTGTGGATTGTATCTTCATGCAATTGTTTTCTTTGCTATACAGAAGCTTTGTAGTTTGATACAAACTCATTCATCTATTTTTGCTTTTGTTGTCTATGTGTTTGGGGTCATATTCATGAAATCACTGCTCAGACCAATGTCAAGGGCTTTCCCTTTATGTCTTCTTTTATAGCTTGAGGTTTTAATATTTAAGCCTTTAATCCATTTTGAGTTGATTCTTGTATATGAGGTGAGGTAAGGGTCCATTTTTATTCTATACGTGGATGTCTAGTTTTCAAAAAACTGTTTATAAAAGAGACTGTCTTTTCTTCATTGTGTGTTCTTGGCACCTTTGTTAAAAAATCAATAGACTGGAGGTGTGTGAGTTTATTTCTGAACTCTCTACCTTATTGTCATGTGTTTGATTTTTATGCTAGTACTTTGCTATTTTGATTACTATAGCTTTCTAATATATCTTGAAATCTGGTAGAATGATGCCACCAACTTTGTTCTTTTTGGTGAAAATTGTGTTGACTATTTTGGGTCTTTTGTGATCCCATACAAATTTTAGGGTTGTTTTTTCTATTTCTACAAAGAATGTTTCTGTGATTGTCATTGGGTCTTCTTCACAAATTCTTTGCCTAGGGTCATACTAGAAGAGTTTTTCCAACATTTTCTTCTAAAATTCTATGACTTCATGCCTTACAGTATTTTATCCATCTTGAATTATTTTTTGTGAATATCAATAGATATGAATCCTCTTTCCTTCTGCATGTGGCTATCCAATTCTTCTAGCACCATTTGAATAGGGTTTCTTTTCCCTAGTGTATTATTGTCTGCTCTGTCAAAGATCAGTTGGCTAGATGTGGATGGTTTTATATTTGGGTTATCTGCTCTGCTCCTTTGGCCTATGTCTCTGTTTTGGAGCCAGTACTATGCTGTTTTGGTTACTCTATCTTTGTAGTATAGTTTGAATCTGGTAATATGATGATTCCAGATTTGTTCTTTTTGCCTAAGATTGCTTTGCCTACTTAGGCTCTTCTCTGGTTCCAAATGAAGTGTAGAATTATTTTTTCTAGATCTGTAAACTAGGATGTTGGTATTTTGATAGGGATTTCATTGAATCTGTAAATAACTTTAGGTAGTATGGATATTTTAACAATGTTGATTCTACTGCTCCATGAACATGATATGTTTTTCCTTTGTGTCACCTGTGATTTCTTTCCTCAGCATTTCATAGTTCTCTTTGTAGAGATCTTTTACTTCCTTGGTTCAGTATATTTCAAGGTGCTTTACTTTCTTTGTAACTATTATGAAATGATGTTGAGTCCTACAAAGAATGATATTGGAATTTTGACAGGGTTTGCATCGAAACTGTAGAACTTCTAACAATATTCTTTCAGTCCATGAACACAGGATATCTTTTCATTTATTTGTATTATCTTCAATTTCTTTCATCCATGTTTTATAAGTTTTGGAATGTAGATCTTTTACTTTCTTGGTTAAATTTACTCCTAAGTGTTTCATTTTTTAGATGTTATTGTAAATGGAACTGTTCTCTCAGTTTCTTTTTTAGATGGTTCATTGTTAGTATGTAGAAACACTACTGATTTTTGTATGTTGGTTTTGTGTCCTACAACATTACCGAATACATTTATCAGTTCTAACAGTTTTTTTGGTTTGGACTTTAGGATTTTCTATATATAAAGTCATGTCATCAGTAAACAGAAACAACTTACTTCATCTTTTCCTTTTGGTTGCTTTTTCTTTCTGTGGCCTAATTGCTAGATTAGGACTTTTCAGTACTATTTTGAACAGAAGTGGTGAGAGTGGGCATCCTTGTCTTATTTCTGATCTTAGAAGAAAAGCTTTCTATTTTTCACTGTTGAATGTGATGATAGCCATGGGCTTGTCTTATATGTTCTTTATTGTGTTGAGGAACATTTTCTTCTATCTCTAATTTGTTTTCTGTATCCATTGAAATGATAATGTGGTATTTGTCCTTCTTCCTGTTAATATGGTGGATGGCATTTATTGCTTTGTGTATATTTAACCATTCTTGCATCCTAGGGATAAATCTCACTTGATCATAGTCAATGATATTTCAATGTGTTATTAATATGGTTTGTTAAGATTCTGTTGAGGATTTTGGCATGTATGTTCATGAATGATACTGGTCTATAGTTTTCTTGTAGTGTCTTTGTCTGCTTTTGG